CCACCCCTGAGAGATTCTGATTTCATACTTTGACTTGGGCCTGAATATTGGTGGTTTAAAACTCTCTCTTGGTACATACAATGGCCTATTATTCAGCCTTAAAAAGGAAGGAAATTCTGGCACACGCTACAACATGGGTGAATCTTGAGGGCATTTTACTAAGGGCCGGGGATTTAGCTCGGTGGTTCGGCCATCTGCCTCGAAAGCGCAAGGTCCCAAGTTCGATCCCGGATACAAAAAAAAAAAGAAAAGAAGGATAAATACTGCAAGATGCCACTTACCTTTCCTACTAAACAGTGGTCAAAGCATAGAGACAGAAAACAGAACGGTGGTTGCCAAAAATGGGGAGGGAATATGAGGACTTGTTCAGTGGAGTTTTAGTTTTGCAAGAAGAAAGTTGCAGAGATTGACCACAGAATGTAAATGGACCGAACACTACTCACCTGCACACTTAAAAATGGTTAGGATAGTATTTCCCAACAATTTAAATAAATAAATATTTTAAGAGAAAGTCCCTAAAAGAAAACTCATCCCAAGTGATTCGGAGGTGGATGCAGGGCCATGGGCTGCTGGATTCAGGGCAGGGTTGGGCAGGCAGTGGCATCCATAGTGCAATTCAGTTGTATGTGTCGTCTCCCCCCGCGCCCCCCACCCCCAAGGACCTGGGGATGATCCTTAGTCAATTATCCATGCCGGCCCAGTTGGGGATGGCCTTGGTTTGTTCGTGCTCCTCCTTTGGGGGAGGCACATTCTGTAACCTGCCTGATATATGTTGGGAAGTTCATTCTCTGTGCTCTGACCTTTATTATGGTTTGGAGATGATTCTCAGATGGACTAAAGGATTCCCAGAGGTCATTTTCACCACAGAATGAGATAAACTGGGATGCTAAGGAAGCTTCTCCCCTGAAATGCTCGGCAAAAGGCACTCTGCTTGTTCTTTGACTCCTCCAATCAGCATTGCAATTCTACCTCTTCTCCCTCAAAATCTGGGGCTTGGAATTCTACACTCTGCATGGCTCCCACCTACCACTAGAGGGAGAGTTTAGCTCGCGGTCTGTGGTAGACAACAGTCTTCATTTAGAATCTGCCTGGGAATGGATCCCCCACTAGAGAAAAGAACGATGTCTTACTTCTTCTACAGCACTTCACCTTCAGCCTCCAAGCCTGGGTCCTTTCAAGTCAAGGATCAAATCATATACTAGGCACGGATCATAAGGTCACTGAATTCAGGCTCTTCAGAGAAATGTTTCTAAACTTGCTCTTATTGCCTGTTACTATAAAAAAGAGAACCACATCCACTATCTTTCTGCATTTCTGGGCAGAATGAAACATGCGGGCAGGGTTTCTGCACCAGGATAGCATCAGGGCTGGGGATTCAATGTTATCAAAAGTATATCCCGCTAACTGCCCTCAGCCACATGGCCTGGCTCTCAGGAGCGGGCACCCAGAAGGAGCCACCTGGGAAAGCTTCTCAGGGGCCGTGGCCTCCACAGCCATCCAGGGACTCTGCTCTGGTTCTTCACAGGTCTTCGTGGTGGTTAGTGTACAGTCATTAGTCTAGAACTGCAGGCTCTGCTTCCAGGCAGAGCCAGTTTGCAAAGGGAGTTGCTACAGGAGGCTATCAGTGAGTCATTTTCTTATGACATTGGGCTTCAGAAATGAACCCCAGGCTATGTGAAGAGCTTGGATCACAGAATGGGAAGTTTGGCGGCTAAACGCAGGCATTTCAGAAGCACCCTAAGACAACTTCATTGGAGGCTGGCATTTGTGTTTAGGAAGATGCCGTTCAAGACAAGCCGATAGCCTGAGAAGAGGCTGGGAAGCAGGAAGTGGTGGACATGGCCTGAGAGCAGAGAATGTGGGATGCAAGGGCTTAGGAATGTGGGGCCGCTAAAATAAACGAGGCATTCACGAGGAAATGCCTGGAAGGAGGCGGGGTCAAAAATAGGCTATCTGTACATACACAAAAAATGTTTTTACACTCACTATTCAAGTAAAAATTAAAATAATAATGAGGAAGTAATAATTTTTTGCTGTTAACTGACCAAGATTTAAAATTCAGCGTACTCAGTATTAACAAGGAACTAAGTCAAGAGTTGTTTCCCTAGGCTGTTGTGAGAATATAAACCAGGACAAACTTTGTGCATGGCAGTTTGACAGTAACATCAAATGCTTTAGACACACTCAAGTGCACACACATGTGCATATACATGTAGTATGTATGCTCATATCTGCGTATGTACACTTGCATGTATGCATCTGTGCCTTACATACACATATGTATGCTTTGGCCTATTATTTCCACTCCATTTAATAGATCCTAGGGAATAAAGATATGAAACAAAGACTTAGCAGAAATATTTATAATAGTAAAATATTAGAAACCCAGGACACATCAAACAATAGATTAGCTGCATAAATTCTGATTCCTACATTCAGAGGGATATTATGCAGTATCAAAGAACACTGGAGCAGAAGAACTGTTTGCCTTCTTCCCTCCCAACCCACTGAGGTGTATATATACTCCAGTCTCGACCAGGCTCCCCACAACTGTGACATGGGGCAGGGGAAGGCCTCTCTCCTGAGGGGCACAACCACCCCAACACAGGTGGAGGTGGAGGTTTGCTTTGTAGACATTCCCAGGTCATCCTGATTCTTGGTACTAATCTAAACATCATTAATTTAAAACCTTTACAATGAAAACTACAGTGCTCATAAAAAACGAGATCAAAGAGGACATCAGAAAATAAAGACATCCCCTATTTCTGTCTAGGCAGAACCAACATTGTCAAAATGGCCATACTTCCAAAACTGATTCATAAATTTAATGCAATTCCAATCAAAATGCCAACAGCAATCCTCACAGAACTAGAGAAAACAGTTCTAAAATTCATATGGAACCAGAAGAGACCAGAACAGCAAAAGCAATCCTGGGCAACAAGAGCAAAGCAGGAGATAGCATAATCCCAGACTTCAAGTTACCTTGCAAAGCTGCAGTGATACAAAGAGCATGGCACTGGCACAAAAACAGACGTGAATGAGTGGAACAGAATAAAGGACATGGAAACAAACCACAGATGGCCACCTGATCTTTGTCAAAGGGGCCAAAAATATACGGTGGAGGAAAGACAGCTTCTTCAGTAAATGCTGGGAAACTGGCCATCCACATGCAGAAGACTGAAGTTAGCCCATGTCTCATACCATGCACTAAACTAAAATCACGATGGATCAGAGATCTAAATATTAAAACAGAAACATTTAATCTGCTGGAAGATAAAATAGGTAAAATGCTTGAAGACAGGTGCATAGGCAAAGACTGAACAGAAGAATCACTCAAGAAATAACATCAAGAATCAATAAATGGGATTATATCAAATTAAAAAGCTTGAGCACACCAAAGGAAACAACCAAAAAAGTGAAGAGACAACCTACAGAATGGGGGAAAATGCCAGCTACATCTCTGACAGAAGACTAATAGTATCTAGTATAGATAAAAAAACTCAAAACAATTAGACTCTCCCCTAAAATAAAAGACCCAGTCAAACAATGGGCAACTGCAATGGATAGAGACGTCTCAGAGAAGGTACAAATGGCCAATAAAAACATGAAAAAGATGTTCAACATCACAGACCATTAGAGAAATGCAGATTAAAACAACACTGAGATTCTATCTCACTCCAGAAAGAAAGGCCATCATCAAGAAAACAACTAATAACGAATGCTGGAGAGGCTGTTGGTGGGGATGTAATCTAATCCAACCACTGTGGAAATCAGAATGGAGATTCTTCAAAAATACTAAAACTAGACATTCTATTTGACCCAGCTCACCTCCTAGATATCTTTCCAAAAGAGTGAAAGGCATCATATTATAGTGAGGTATTCATACCACGCTTAATGTAACACAACTCAGAATACACTAAGTAGTTAAACCTTGAAAGCAGCCTATACGGCCATCAGCACATGAATGGACAAAGAAAGTGCAGTATTTATACACAATGGAGTACGGCTCTGCTATAATGAAGGATAAATTGGAGTCATTTGTAATGGATGCACAGGAAAATGGATGCACAAGAAAATGGATGCACCTTGAATCCACAGTGTTGAAGGAAGTAAATCAGACACACAAGCTTAAATATTCTGTGGTCTCTCTTATATAAAAAACTCGAAAATATAAAGAACAAAATAAAAGACAGATAATAGGAAACAGGAAGATCTTTTGCAAATGAAAAGGGGACCAAGAGATGTGGGGATGGGGCCGGGGATTTAGCTCAGTGGTTCTGCCACCTGCCTCGCAAGCGCAAGGTCCTGAGTTCGATCCCCAGTACCGAAAGAGATGGGGGGGGATGTAGGAAGAATTAAGATGTGTCATGTCCATGCGCCAACTCCCACCATGAATGTAAGCATTGTGTATCACAAACATGTACTAAAAAATTAAAATATAAAAAATGGATTTGTTGTTACAGAAAGATGTCTGGAATAAATTCACTGAAGCAAGTAGCTGTAACCCATATGATACCATTTCTGAAAATTATTTACATACCAGGAAAAAGTATAGCACTGCTTTTCTGAGAGAGGTGGTACTAGAGGTGATATTTTCTTAATTTTGCCCATTTCTCTGAGTTTTCTACTTTTTATATAATGAGACATGTTAATTGTGCAATTATTTTAGACAAAAATTTCTAAGAATGGGAAAATAGGTAAAAAATATGTAAAAAAATTACATTTCATATAACTTTCCATAAATTATTCTGTGATTTCAAAAATGACAAACATTAATAGCAAACAAATATTTGTTAAATTTTTATGTACTGTATATACTGTTATTTTTTTTAAGGAACTAGGCATTGTAGATATTTTATGTCTGTAACGGATAAGAACCAGTAGCCAAATTTTGGGGCTTTTACATAATATGTGGTGATGGCAATGATTGAGCCAATCAGCAGCTGCCCTTTATTTTTTTAAACCTAGCATAATTACATGCGATCATTCCTGACAAAAGAATGCGATTTCATCTGACCCTTTTTTTGCACCTCAGTGAGTATTACTTGTGAAGATCCATTTTCTGCTTGTATTGAATTGTCCTAAAATACGTAGCACAAATAGTTTTTTATACATATCCACTTATTGTTCCTGTGCTGCTATATTTGCGTGGCTATTCTGTTGAATAATTGTGTGAAACAACTGAAAAATTATACTCGCATGTACTTGGTATCCATGCATGACTATTTCTGTCACTCCTTAATGACATGCCATCATCAGCAGATTAGCTACTGAGCAATGTTGAGTAGTTTCAGATTCTCAATGTATAAATGAACGCACTTAATTTTTTAAACTGCTCTACTTTGAATGTAACACGTTTCCCAGTGATGAGGTCTTGTGAAGAATTCTCAAGCAAAATTCCCTCTTCCAAGTAAGCAGCGGGCTGAAACTACAAGGCCAAATTCTCCCTGCTGCTGCTGTCTTTAATAAGCAGAGAATAATTTGCATTAATCATAGAGAAGATGTTCCCAACAGTTGCTCTCTTTGATCCTGACTTTTCAGGATCTAAAACAGCCCTGCCTTTGATTACTGCGTACTCATTAAATTGCTTCAAACCTTCTCTTCAAAGATGGATGCAACTTTCCTCAAGGCAGCAAGCTTTCAGAGTCTCACCACTGAATTTTCCAACTCCTGAAGCCTAAGGAAATTTCCCAGTTAGATTTGCTAGTAATGAAGGACAGAAGAGGGATCCAGATGGGGCGCACTCATTTGCGGTCTGTTGAAAAGTCCCTGCCTTAGAGGAGACACAGGAGCGTGGGAGTAGTGACTGCTGAGCCCCAGGGGTCCCCAGTTTACACTCCACACTCCACCACTGTGAGGCTTAGCCCTGGCCTCACAGTCGGAAAGGGTTGTTTTAATCTATAGAGGTTTGGATGCTCTTTGGAACTAAACCAGTACTGTATTCCAAACCAGAGGAAAGCACTGAGGATCACTCCAGCCTCTGCCTAGGATCCCTTTGACCTTGCGAAAGGTCTAAGCCACTCCATAGTTCCTGGGAGAGCCCTCCTCAATCAGATCTCTCCTCTCTGAGGGGAAAATCTTCAGAAATAAATCAGCTTGAGCAGAGAGGGTCTCACTGCAATAAGATTTGGACTTCTAATCTTTGCCCTGATTGAAACCAAATCTCTCAGGTTGCCTGTGGTCAGCTTCCCAAGTTGACTGTATGTTGTCAGCGTAGGCGATTTCTGGTTGGTAATTTGACCATGTGCATTTATATAAGTAGCAGAGCCTGGTTAAATACTTTGTCTTGTATTCTGAATCAGGAACCTAAAAGGAAAGCATCATGAAAAGTACATTGACCCTCAGTTTGGGGAGCCAGACACAGAGTGCAAACTTTATCTAACACACTTTTTTGTACTTCTCTCACCCATACTACCTAATGTGTGTGGGTACATCAGTGTTGGTGCGTGTTTATATCCTCTCTAACATTCTGAAATAAATGGTATGTGAAAATATCTCACATAGTTAAGAGACTTATAAAAATATGCAAAATTACTAGAGAAATTACAAAATGATCCTTCACTTTACAAAAAAATTTACTGTACATTTTCTTTAAATGAACAGATCTCCTAAAGTCATTTTAATAATATCCTACCTTCGTATTTTGTGCTTTTTGACTGCATTAATATTCTAAAGATATAAACATCTTTATTCTCTGAAGCAATTCCAACCTATTACTGATATGATCATCTGGCAGTTGAAAACTTCAGCCTAGGAAAGATATTACTGAGTCTATGCTAGGCATAAAATTTTAATTATTTGTGACTTTAGCAATTTTTGGTCAAGTGTTTTAGACTAAAAGTTCATAGTTGCATTGATAATTACAGAAATGATAGTTCAATGTTTCTATGTCCTGAAATATTTTTTCAGAAAAGTACACATGTGATCAAAACAAGTTTGGCCAAGTCAGGTTACAAAGCATGTTAATTCTCTAACACAACCGTGCCAGTAAAAGAGTTCAGGATGCAACTTGTCTAAAAGAATAAATCCCTAGAAGGGAAGTAATCTTAGTTAATCCACATGCAGTTTCAGCAGAAATGTCATACCTGACCTTGTTTTTAAAAATCTCTGTCTAGTGGAGTCCAAACATTTGGAGTTATTTATTTTAGATTCTAGTTCCAGGAAATAAACAATGTAGATTTTAATTTCAATAAAAGGGGAAATGCGCATTAACCATTTTAGGATCTTTTATTATACCATGATTACACACACACACACAAAACCCCAAAAAAAGGTATGATGGTGCTAACTTTCCTTATAAATATTTTAAAGAAAGAGAAAGAAATGTAACCATTTAAAATAACAATCTTTTTTTTTTTTAAACCAGGGATCGAACTCGTCCTTGCGCTTGTGAGGCAGGCAGCAGAACCACTGAGCTAAATCCCCAGCCCCTAAGACAACAATCTTTATAATGATATTAAGCATAAAAAATCCTTGCCCAAATTGCTGTTTAATAAAGTGTGGGAGTGGAGATATTATGTATCATATTCTTAGCTATAAAACTCATAATCTAAAAATGCTTCCTGCCTGATTTTTTAAAAATCATAAAATAACTAGAATAATAGAATTTTTATGTGGAGAACAGTATACATAATACAAAGAACATGATTTTTCCACATCCTATTTTTTGGAAGGCCAGATTTTTTAAAAAATTAGATATAAAAACAAGCCCATGAAAAAAAAATTATTTCTTTATATTTTACAATTAAGAAATCTGAGGAGAAACAAAACTTATTTCACAGCATGGTTCATGGTTTTCGTCTTAGGCCCACCCTTCTCCTGTATACTGAAATAAAGGCTTGGCATAAATGTTCACGTTTCAAGGGAGAGGCCTATAAGACCAACAGGAATAAATCATGCGCATACTGTTTTAGAGGGAGGTTGATTTGGTTCACCATGTAGAAGCCGATGGAGTGGGTTTTTGAGAAAGGACAGTTCTTCGCTTATTTTTTGAAAGTTTAAAATCGCTGTGAGTTCACATGCAGTTGTAAGAAATAATACAGACACCTGTACATCCTGTACACCTTTCACCCAGTCTCCCTTAATGGCAACATCTTGCATGGCTACAGTACAACATCTCAGCCAGAAAATTAACATTGATACAATCCATGGACCTTATTTGAATTTCACCGGTTTTGCATACACTCATATGTGTGTGTGCACTTAATTCTGTGCAAATTTACCACACATATAGATTTGGTGGCCATCCCCACAGTCAAGATACAGGAGTTTTATCACCTCTAGGATGCCTAGTACTTCCTTCACATAGCTGTGGCTGCTTCCCTCCCTGCCTGCCTGCTTTTCTAATCTCTGAAAACCATGGATCTCTTCCTAGTCTCTATAATTTTGTCTTTCAAAAATGGAATATACATGAAATTGTGCATTCTCTAACTTTTTTCCATCAGCACAATCCTTTTGAGAGCCATCTCAGTGGTTGCTGGCCTCACTGCTTACCCATAGTTTGGTCTTCTTGTTGCTAAGTCCTCTTCCGTGGACCACTCTTTGCTTAGCCACTCACATGCTGAGGAACACCTGAGTAATTGCCAGCCTTTTGATGTTTGTATACAGATTTTTGTGTGAACATAAGTTATGATTCCTTTGGCATAACTAACTAACAATACAATTGCTGGATTATAGGATAAGCTTAGTTCTGTAAGAAACTACATACAGTACCATACTTTCCCACGGTGACCATAACACTTGACATTCCCACCAGCTGTACATAAGGGGTCTGGTTTTCCCACACCTCTCAAGTGTCTGGAGTTATCACTACTTTTTATCTTAGTCATTCTGATAGATGTCTAATGATATCTCATTGCTGTTTAGCTTTCCCTAGTGACTAATGATGTTGAACTTCCTTTCATGTCCTTATTTGCCTTCGGTACCTCTTCTTCATTGAAATGTCTCTTTGTGTTGTTTGCCATTTTCTCATTTGACTGGTTTCTCATGTTGAGTTCTGAGAGCTCTTTAAATATTGGAAACGTAATGGCTTTCTCAGATGTGTGGTTTGCAATTCTATTTTCCCAGTCTGTAGCTCACGTTTTCACCTTTTCACAAGGTCGTTCTCAGAGCAAAAGTTCTTTAGTTTTGAAAATGTCCAACTTTCTCTTCTATAGATTATGCTTTTGTCATAAATTCTAAAAATCCTTTGCCTGGCCCTAAGACCCAAAGATTTCCTCTTTTGTCTTACAGCTTTATAGTTTTACATTTATGTCCAAGATCCATTTTGAGTTAATATTTATGCAAGGCATAAATTTGCAGTTGCAGTTTATGTTTTCACTTGTGGATTTCCAATTTCTCTTGCATTTATTGAAAAGGTTGTTTTTCCTCCATTGAACCGCCTTTGCACCTCAAAAATCAGTTGGCCATATTTGCTTGGCTATACTTTTGGGTTCTGTATTCCAGTCTATTGGCCAGAACACATCTGTTTTGCTATGATCACCCTCTTGTGTTTATTGTAGCTACATAGCAAGCTGTAATGTCAGGTCAAGCGGTTCTTTCTCCTTTGTTCTTTTTTTTAAACATTTTTTAGTTATTAAGTCCTGTACTGTTTATGTGAATGCCATTTTATTTCTGCAAATTTACCATGTATATAGTTTGAACTGAAATCAAGAGAGAAACAGTACCTAAATTTTGGCCTCCAGAATCAAGCAAGATTCCAACCCTTCAACTGAATTAGCAATTATACTGTATCATCCTGTTCAAATATACTTTGTAAAAGAAGAGCTACAATTATTTCTATAAATAGCTATCCACAAAATATTAAGCAGACTTTTGTTATTTGTACACTCACTCTAAGTGTATTGACTTTGGAGTTTAGCTCCAGTAAGGTTCTACTTTGTTTTATTCAATCTTTCCAACAATGAACAAATCTATTATTTTATTGCTTGCAAAAATTTAGTATATAACATAATGGAGAAAGTCTTCCAGACAAGAAATAGTTCCAGTTACCCTGCTCCCCCGCACTTATAGAAAGGAAATTTAACAGTTATCTTTACTTAGAGTGATTCAAATATTCTACCATTTGTACATTGATTTTTCTTTGTTACCTTTTTTAACTTCATGATTCTCAAATCTTAGTTTTGGGTACACACATTCATCTACACTGTACTATGTAGGCAATTTATGAAAATTTCCAGAGTAATTTTGATTACATTTGATTTATAGCTTAATTCCCCAAATTTATCTTTACATCCAGTCTCCAAGTAAGACATAGCAACCCACCACTCAGACTGTTTTAGGCTGGAAGATTTAGATTAAATACAAATGTGATTAGCGTTTCCCAAAATATCTTCCTAGTTTTGCATGGAATAATGATCTGAGTTGAATAAAAATGCCCTCCATGAAATGCTAGACTAAGCAACTTTGGAGATATTTGGTTTGCATTTTGATTTTACAGAATGACTTTTTCAGGGGCTATAATGTGCTGGTGTCCAATGTGAATATCCAAGAGAGAGAGCTAGGATGCACTATCTCTCAAATTTATTGTTCTCACATCTTTTTTTGATGGAGAATCGTGCTAATTTAGGGTTCAGTTCAACACATTTTAGAAGCACTTATCTTTAGTCCAAATCTATAATTTGAATAAATTAAATTCAAGAGTCATCACACTTACTGCCACCCGGCAAGCAAAGACAGGACCATTCATCACATGTTACTAAACTAAAAGTTTAGTGCATCTTTGTCCAATCTTAAATAAACATGTAAATGTCCAAATATAGTCATTTGGTTAGATGAGATCGGACATTCAGAGTGGTATGGCTGAGACTATAGTCATTAAGAATGCCTAACTATACCCAGCTATTTTCCAACCTTTACATTTTTTACCACTCTGTGATCTAACCCTGGTTTTATTTCAGATGTGAATGAAGCAATATTTTCCTCATTCAATGCAAATTTTTTCTCAGAGTCAAAGACTTCCTAGGTAATACACAAAGTTAGAAAAATGATGGTTACATTTTTCTAGGTGACTTGATAGCAGAAGGGTTTGCTAGTGGTGTTTTCTTCCTCTGTCTCTAGTGAAAGACCCCTTTGCCTGAATTTATAACCCACAGCCTGGCCAGATCCCCTGCCTAGAGCTTCTGATTCTTTTTGCCATTATAAACAAAAGAAGTTTACATATGACTACCCTGTGGTTGAAATTTCTTGCAGTTAATGGCAGCTGTGTTCTAAGTCACTTAAATTCTCCTTCACCCTTTTGCTACCTATTATCTAGGACATTTTATGTTTTATATTATTTGCTACTCTTGCTATTACTATTTAACAGTAGCTTGGGGGGGGCAGGGATTTAGCTCAGTGGTTCTGCTGCCTGCCTCGCAAGCACAAGGTCCTGAGTTCGATCACCAGTACAAAAATAAAATAAAATTAAATTAAATTAAATTTTTAAAAAATGGAGCATTGATAAAATTTTTTTAAAAAACAAACAGTAGCTTGGTATGCTAAAATTTTAATACACTTATAATTTTTCCAAGGAACTTACCCTTTCTCAAGAACTTAACATTTAAAACAAAATTTTTTTAAAAGCAGTAACTTATAGATATTGTCTCAGAGGCTGTACATGAATAACAAGGTTGAGACTGATGTGCCTGAGACCATGTTGCTCCTTGGGTGATCTTATCTCATGAATGACCAAAGCCCTTCCTGGCAGGTCCACTGGGCAGTATGTGACAAAATGGGCTGTTTGCTATTCATACTAGAACTCTGTCCCTAAAGGAACATGATTTATTCCATGTTGTAGCCGAACCCAACAATCCAGGTATTTAAATGATTCCACTGAATTTGTATATTATAAGGGAAAGTTATTTCTCAAGGATTTCTTCAATTCTCCTATTTTGTACAGATTGGAACCATGGATATAAGAGGTAGGATTTGAATTCTCTGTCCTCCTGTCCATGAATTAGTCATTATTTGTCCTAAAATGAAACATAAAGAAATTCCCAGGGAGGCTGACTCAGGCCAGGTTGCCTTCACGCAGAACAGATGCAGGGATTTGTGTGCAGCTTACTTACTCAGAGTGCTCTTAGGAGCAAGAGGTTGAGGGGATGGACCCAGGCCATGGTCCCAGCTGGAGTTGGCTTAGCCAGATGTCAGAGGAGATGCTGGGCATGGATCACACCATGGAGTTGACAGCAGCCTTTCAGACTCTGTATCTGTCACAGGCTACAGGCTGCCCGGGTGAGGCCAGGGAATTCGGGTGGTGTAATCTCCATCAGGAGTTTGCCACCAGGCTATGGGCACTTGAGCATCCACAAGGTGAGGCTTAGAGAGCCACAGAACTGGTATTAAAAATAAATGCCGTATTCAACTTAACCAGTTTGCTTGTCAGACCTGGTGCTACCCTCGGGCTGCCTTCTGTGCAGCTGATTCTGTTTGTGTTCAGGGTGGCTCGGGTACCTGAAAGCTCAAGATGAATGCGACACAGGTGCCTGTCATCCTGCCCCTGGCGATCTCCTCATGGGCCGCGTTTCCCAGCTCACAGTGTCTTCTACCTGCAGGCTGAACGCAGCCCAGAAGTACTGCATCCCCAGGTACCTGGAGGTGGGTTGGTTCTCAGTTTCCTCGCTGTGATGTTATTTAATTAGTGATGTAGATTTTTCCTGTATACCTGAGGCTACTCGGACAGCAATAAAGGAGACAGTGGTCCTTCCTGAAGTGACATATGTAAAATAATTCAAAGAATGGAGACTCAACTAATCAGAAAACACTTAACTTCTATTCCTTTTACTTTTAGAATTACCCAGAAAAGACTTTTTGCTTCAGGCTTTGAAGAGTATTATTCTAATTCTATTGGTCAACTTAGCTGCCATAGTCTGTCCCATAGAGCAAACATAACTGACGCATTCAGGGAAGGTCTCCAGGCCATCGTGCCAAATACATGACCCCACTGCTCTGCCTTACACAGAGAAAGATGGAGAACTTTGAACTCACTGTACATCAAACTCACACCACTTGGAAGTTGCAGTGTCTCAAAAACCGTAAGTTCCCAAAATGAATGTATTTTTGTCCCCTTTTCCCTGAGAGACCAGTTTATTAAAGGGCAAGTGACTTTTTAGGGTTTTTTCTTCCTGTGTCCTGGCAGCCGAACAAGCATCCAAGGTCATCTGAGTATCATACCTGCTGGAAACAGTGAGGCTACCATGTCCACCCCTTAAATGAGAGGATGTGCAGGAAGGAAATTGGACATAAGCCTAATGCTAGTGGCTCAGGCTTTTCCATGTATTGTTTATTTAAGGCAACTTGTTTAGATCTCAGGGAAATGCTTTGTATTCTAATTGGTTTCTAGTAAAATATGAGGATTATAAATAAGTAGAGACAATACTTGGGTGCTTAGCACTGTTCTAAGTTTGGGAAATACTTATGTAAGAACACGAAGTGTCTACATGTGTCAGGAAATTACATGGTGGAAGTTTCGCTCCTCTCGGCCAGATGGGATGGACGGCTCCTCCAGTGACTTTACAAAGACCAGACCCTCTGGACAAAGGCGTGCTTCTCAGTTCTAACATCAGGAACTTCTGTCTTACTCTTTAACTGTGGTATTTGCTTACTGCTACCATGAGCCAACACTCTGACTGTAATTAGAAATTGATGTGCCTTTATCACAAAGCTACATTACCAAAAATAAAAGTAAATCAAATATCAAAGTAAAGGCTTCTTTTGTTTAGAGAATGGCAGAAATCTTAGAAAGCTTAGAGTCAGGAAGAAAAAAAGTCCTCAAAATATTTTAGGCTAACAAGAGTTACTGGTGAGGATCCCACTACAAATCTAGATAGAAATTCATGCGGGCCGGGGGTTTAGCTCAGCAGCACCTCGCCTGCCTCACAAGCACAAGGTCTTGAGTTCGATCCCCAGTACTGCAAAAAAAAAAAAAAAAGGAAGAAAGAAAAGAAAAGAAATTCATGCACAAAGAGAATGATTTTATCTAAGAAAGAACGGCCAAGCTGAAGATTTTCTTCAAAGCTTCAAAACAACATGGACCTACTGCAATACTCGAGTTGAGATTCTCACATCTAGTGGCCACAACTGAGCATCACTGGGAGCTGCAGCACTGAAGAATAAGCTTCTGGGCCGGGGATTTAGCACAGTGGTTTCACTGCCTGCTGTGCAAGCTCAAGGACCTGAGTTCGATCCCCGGTACCCCAATAAATAGATAGATAGATAGATAGATAGATAGATAGAATAAGCTTCTAAAATGTTGAGAGAAAAATACCCTCTAAGACTTGCAGTTGAATGTCTTCCCCAGTAATTTTCACAGTATGACTGGAAATACTTTTGAGACAGACGAGAAGAACCTGACTCATTTTCCCTGTGCCAGCTGGAGAGGAGCTGTGGCTTGGCAGGCAGCCAGTCCATCCCTCCCCTCAATTCCTTCTGCTCCCACTTTCTCCACAGTGGACCAGGCCAGTTTGCTTCAGCATCCTCCCTGGCTACCAAACCACCATTGTCCACTCCAACATGTGTGCAGCCGGACAGGCAGCCTGACACCCTGCCCCACAGCCGCCACTTCAGATGATACTGTTGCCTTTTGAAGAAAGGAGGGAGCGGCCTGGAATGGTTAAGATCAGGAAGGGAGGGATCTGGGCCTCTTATTGGCAAACCAACATTCACAGCAAGCTTTCAGCCCTGCGCCTCATGGACACAGGCCTCAGCCGCTATCTCAGCAGCGCTTCCCGGGACACCTCTCAGGGTTAGTCTAGGGCCGTCGCCTCCTGTGTACTGGCTCCCTGAGCTGCAGCACAGGCCCTGTTAAAATAGAGACTGGCTTTGGTGATCCTGTAAACCTGCTTGTGATTTATTTCTCGGGTAGTGTAGGTTCCAAAGGTCCTGAAAATCGACTCGGGATTGTTGTCCTGAGTAATGTGGGTAGAGCAGTCATTTCCAAAGAAAGCACAATAAACACTCAGAGCCCCAAGGACCAGCAGTCAACAAAAGCAGCAGCAGAGAGCAGCACCCAGTGGAGCTGACCTACAGTGTCCAGCACAAGCTGGCACCGGAAGGTGGCCGCTGACAGTGGCAGAGACCAGCATGACCTGGCATCATCTGTGACGACAGGACTGCTAGCAGAGCTTCATGTTGTCGATTCACAATTTCTGTCTGAACTGAGCAAAAGAACTGTTATGGCTGTGTCTAGATGGCCCTCAAAGCCTCATGTAGTCATAGGTGGGACTTTTTCAGAGGTGGCTGGATCTAGAGTGTGTGGTGCTAGAACTGATTCGTGGTGCAATGCTAGGCTCAAGGGCACTAGGATAAGGGTGTGAGTGCTGCCCACCCTAAGTAGCCTGGATGAAATATAAGGAAGAGAAAGGGCTGTGGTCGTCCCTCTTGCTTTTGCCACAAACTATTTCTCCTCTGCGATGCCTGTCTGCCACACCACCCTGCCTTGGAGCTGGATGATTATGGACTGAAACCTCTACAGACTGTGAGCTAACTAAACCATTTCCCCTTTAACTTTTGGTGTCTGGTATTTTGTCTCAGCAATGAGAGAAAACCTAGGCTAATTGGCAATACTCTGAAGACCTGACCTCTTTTGAGGAAGTCACAAGGCTTCTGCTGCTCTTCTGTGGCAGGTCTGGGACAAGCCTACTCATATGCAGAATTGATCCAGCATCCGTTGTCTTAATTTCCAAAGAGAATTTTTGTTTTCTTCAACAATAAGGCTTATGGTGGCCCATGATTCTAAAATGCACTGATGATGTGAAACTCTTGAAGGGTTGGTTTACTTTGACAGACTCCAACTGAAATAGTCATTAAAATCATCATGCATTCATTTGACACATTTTATTGAGCAGCTACTATGTGCCAGACACTGCTGTAGATGATAGGGACATAGCAATAAACAAAGTCCTTGTCTGTGTGCAGCTTGAACCCTAATGATAGAGACAGACTATATACCAACAACTACATATTATAGTCTCAAGTAGCAATGAGCATTTAGAAAATATATAAAATACAGAAAGAGATAGAGAAGAGCAAAAGGCTATGGGGTGTGGAGGTGACAGCATTTTAGATAGGGTTAAGGGAAGTCTCTCAGGTTGGCATTTAAATAGCGACCCAAAAGAAGGGGAGGAGCAAGAGACGTGACTATTTGGGAGGGAGAGTAGCTTGTGCCAAGACCCCAGACAGAAGGTGTGGAGAGCGGTGTTAGCCATAGAGGCTCCATGTTGAATCTCACCCTCCATTGTATGGAGCAAGGAGACTATGTTACGAGGAACCGCGTCCTTGCCAGATTAGATGTTTACCTTCAGAAATTGTCCTGGAACATGATGAACGTTTTGTAAACCCGAGAAACAAGAAAGCCCATGAGGGTGGGGAATTTCCAAAGAATTAGAGAACAAGGAAGCAGGTGTCTTTGGATAAGGGTCATGATGAACAACCAAACTCACCTGCGATAAAAGGGGAGGAGAATAAAAAAGCAGCGGCAGTCTCTCTGGGGGGCTCCCGACTCTGTCTCTGCGTCTTTCTTTTTCTTCATCCTCACTCCCCCATTCAGGTGCTGTTCGACAAGTGACGGCGGGCTCCGTCAAGAAGGGTTCTTGGTGTGCTAGAGAGATCATGAGAAGCCAGTGTACCTGGAACGGAGTAGAAGTGAAGGCAAAGAAGTAGCCCTGGTCACCCTGTGTAGGGCCTGAGGACCTGTGCTGTTGTAGGTAATTTCTGGCACTGAAGACTGTAACAAGCGGTTCCCACTTCCTGATACCTTTGCCCGAAATCTTTAGAGTGCCACAGGTATTAGCCAAGTCACCGTGTGGATCAGTGACAGCCCGCGGACATCTTCACAGAGCCCCTTCAGTTTTACATGCAGCTCAAGTTCACCTTGAAAATCCATCCTAAGTAAAACCAGTTCCAATTCATGAAAAAAATCTTCTTCCGGTCTATGAAATAGGAGGGTGGGGCCTCCGTGCCTGGAGTCCCCAAGTATGACATGATTTTGGCCATGGGAAGTTTTCTACTGAAAGCTGTAAAATCTGGGAGAAAAAGCTACAAATAACCTAATACACAACTGCTTCATTAATTTCTTGCCAAATATTCCATTTTTGGCTAAAGGAAGTAATTCTAGCTTTTAAAAGTACACCCTAAGAATTTTTCTACAGTTTGAAATAACTTTCAGAACATCGCCCTCGTCTCTGAGAAAAAAATTATTTCAATATAAATTTGCATCTTTTTGCCCCAAATGTATAAATTTATAAAACATCTAGGCCATGTTTTAATTTAATTTGGTACTGTATTTAGATACCTACTGATGGAAAATGTGATGTCTTGTTATTTCCTCTGGTTTTTATTTTTGCCTGGATTGAAAGATATAAATACAGTGAACACAGCTTGTTTTTAAATTCAGATCAACAATAAGAAGTTATAGTTCTTTATTTTTAATTTTAATGATAGTATTTTCCAGGGAAAGCAAAAGTGCTTCATCTGTGACTCCCGATTTCCATACAACCCTTACACCCAACCCGACAGCCACACCATCGAGAATGTAATTACAAAGTTTGAACCAGACAGAGAAAAGAAATGGTGGCAATCTGAAAATGGTATGATTAAGTTTTTTCCACTTATTCATTTCTTCCTATTTTAATACAGTGCCTTTCTCCTTGCATGGCTCTAACAGTGTTACAGCAAGATATTACCCACCAAGAATGAGGCGTTTCATATAAGATCGATTTATCTTCATTTTTAAGAAAGACTATTTTCCTTTAGAGAAGTTAAAGTGTATTTTCAGCACTTACCTCAGAACATTTTATTCTTTCCATGTGAGTAAAGAAAATGTCTTTTTGTTCTTTATACATTTTTTAAAACTTTATGAAGTATTGGTAAATTAAGCCTAATACAAAACACACTGATGTAAACAGAGTAACTAGGGCCAGGGGTTTAGCTCAGTGGCACCGCACCTGCCTCGCAAGCGCAAGGTCCCAAGTTCGATTCCCAGTACCCAAAAATAATTAATTAATTAATTAATTAATAGAGTAACTAATACCAAGGGAAGTGTGAGAATTAGCACCAGGCACTTTGTCCTTCTCGGTGCATGAAGAGAGGAAGAGAGAGAAAGGACATTTTGATACATAGTGCAAGCCAACAGTTTTAATACAAAAACTGAATTGAAAGGATAATTGGCTACTGGCTGAGGTTCTTGCCTTCCCGAATGCAGGCCCTTCTCTCTTCACGCAGTTGTGATCTGGACCCCACACCGGCCATGACCATCTGTGTGTCTTCAGTGCCCACTGAGTGTGGCCCCGAAGAGGGATTCCTCTTGTCCCACCCCTGGCCCCAGCCTTTCCTGCCCCAAATAAAGAGCCGGCCTCCCTCCCTCACGCTGGCCCCCATCAACACTGGCCTGGGACCCTTCCCCTTTTCCTTGGCCGCAAAATGATTCCATTCGGCAACCTCTATCTTGTTCTTTGGGCTCTAATTTCTGTTTTCTTCAGACTTCTAAATAGGTCTTTGTTAGGGTCCTAAGCCATTAGAGCAAAGAGTGGGCATAGCCACACCCTATAAACAGCTTAGGGCAGGCATGATGCAAGGCTGTTTCACTTTGCAGTCCACTCACATGCGTGACTGTGTCTGCTTGATGCCATTTCATCATGGACCCTAGTTATCACCTCGAGTTCACACTCCTTCAGGAATGGAGGGGATTTTGCCGCAGCCCCCTCTGCAGTGATGAATGGTGCCCTTTTTGCTCATCAGCTCTTCTGACCCACATGTTCAGCATTTATTCCACTGCTCCTCCCTCTGTCACAGCCGACTGTGCAGACCTGGGGGTGACAACTGAGCACTCTGTGGGGGTCTCCTCTAGACAGGGATCGGAGCCCTTGGTGCAAAGCCTGGAAGCTCAGCAGTATATGATTCCGAGTCTCTCATCTCAGAGCTCTCAGTAACCCCAGAGTCACACTGTCCCATTTTGCGGACTGTACCTCACGCGGTTTCTGACCACTCAAAGCCAAACTGAGCCAATCTAAACTGAGACGTGCGTCACTCTACAACCGTCTTGGATTTCCAAGATGGAATCTAGGGGAAAAGTTACACTAAAGTATTGGAAATAATGATAACATGTTTTATATTTTGGCTTAAGTATATTATTAAAAATAATTTTACCCACTCCTTTTATTTTTAAAATACAGCTGCTAGACAATTTCAGATTGCATCTATGGCTTCTATTCTGGCTCTGTTGGTCAGTTGTGTCTTGAGAGCTCTGGGTTCCATCATGGCCAGGCTGGGGTGATGCTTCTAGTCGCTGCTAGAGGTGGATTGCGGCTAACTAGCTCAGCGTATGGTCCCCACTCCAAGGGGAATACTCCAAGCTGTGTCTCCCAACAAGAGGCAAAATTCTAGCTCCAGTGACTTAACAGCCGTTGGGAGAAAAAAGCGTGTTGATTTCCGTGTGCTCTGGGTTGCTAGTTCCTGCTCAGGAGCTTTCACCCACAGGACATGGCCTGGCACTCCCTTGGCGGTAGTAATTCTGCCGCACAGTGGCCATGTGTATTGGCACCAACATGCAAATGCAGATACTCAGGCATAGATTCGGACACAGAGCAGCCCAGACTGGGAAAGGGTGTTGAGCACCAGCCATGTGATTTCAGTACAGATAAACTACAGCAGGGGTAACATGAGGAACAGGGTGCTCTCAAAATCATTGATTGTCTTCTTTCTGGAATTTTCTTCAGGTATTGATCACGTGAGCATCAGGTTGGACCTAGAGGCGCTATTCCAGTTCAGCCACCTTATACTGACCTTTAAGGTACAGATGCACAGGCCCCCCCGACTCCTTTACGTACCTCCAGAAATACTCTGTGTTACCCAGGGACTCCTCTTCCTGGCTTCCTTACAGAGAACAAAAAGTGATACATGTAGATTCAAGTTTTGTCACCTAGGTTTTGTTCCTGAATGAATTTTTAATGAAAACATTGCTTGCTGATCAATGACTACATGATTAATTTTTTAAAAAAGACTTAGAAGACAGAATAAAGGTAAATCCAAAGTACTGGGGAGACAGGGACCACAAGAACTGGAAAGATAGTTTTCAGGAGAAAAAGACAAGAAATTATTTGAGGAAATATGGAAAGGTAGTGATCAAAAGGCAAAGAAAAAATTAACCTTTAGGTTACTCATGAGCAAATCATTGCGCTAGTCTTTCATAATCATGCACCAAAATTCTACTTTGATGATAGACCTGCTGCCAGTTCTGGAAGAAAAAAAAAAGGATGCAAAATGTAAAATAGTCAAAAAAGAAAAAACAAAAAAAGAATACTAGTCTTTGTCCCAGAAGAATTTACCACCTCTCATGGATACAAACACAGAAGCAGAAAATGATAATATAAAGTGATAAGTTCAGAAGTAGAGGTATGATTGGAATGCTTGGAAACATAATTGAAGAAAATATATATGCTCTAGGGAATCAGGATAAACTCCGTGAATAGATCGTGATGGATGTAGAACAATTTGCCTAAAGAAAGGCATCCTTGGCAAAGAGGCACAAGCAAGCTGGTGTAAAGTATTAGTTACATTAGCTTTTCTATTTATATGCCAGCTTTCTTCAGTTACTAGGTCACACAGCCATAATATTTTCAAAACTGTAATTAGATTTTTTTGGACAAAGTATATACTTGTAAATTCTCACCCATTTATTGGTGTGAGAGCTAGCTGTGTTTACCATATAGCGACATATAGTGATTTTAAAGGATATACTGAAAGTTTACAGATGGAACTATAAAATGAAAATATTCACTCTGAAATGGATGGTAAAATTTGGCTTTGTGGACCATTACAAGTTCTACTCATTATTTTTGTAGTCTTTTCGGCCTGCTGCAATGTTAGTGGAACATTCCATGGACTTCGGACACACCTGGAAAGCACTGAAGTACTTCGCACAAGACTGCACTGCCTCCTTTCCTGAGGTCCCACCTGGACAGGCCCAGGGAGTCGGAGACCTTGTTTGTGACTCCAGATACTCAGATATTGAGCCTTCAACAGGTGGTGAGGTAGCATTTCCTTCCTTGGATTTCTTTTATGTAAATTAAACTTTTTACAGTGTGATCTACTTAAATTTAAAAAGAAAATAGGTTATATTTACCAAAATGTCACTTGAGCTGCTGATTTTTAAAAAATGAACATGTCCCAGTGGAATGAGTCCGGAACAGTAAAGAACTCCCTATCAAAGAGGCACTGTATTGTCAGCCCAGCTGAGGGAGATGGGCTCAAATGGCCCCGGGCCCCCTGAGGTAGAAACGCCTGCCCCTAACCCTTGCAAAAGAGCCACATAGCCCAGCAGCTCCCCTGCATCAGCTGTCTCAGCCCTGGGCTCCTCCGCAAACCACTGCCCAGGTGGACTCTCCAGGAATTTCCTCCAAGCAAAGCTGGGGCCTGCGGAGGGCCAGGGTGGGAGCAGGATTGGGGGGCACTGTTTTACCAGGTGGAGCAGAAAGAATCGGTGAAGAAGGCAGCCCCACAATGCCCCGCCAGGGCCCAGTTGACGACAGCTTGCTCCGTCATCCCACTCCAGCTTCACCAATGGCACCAACACTCCGTGTGCACAGAAAGGGCCGGGCACCACTGAGGCGTGCCTTGCGCTCATCTTTGTTCTTAGTGCCCAGTGGTAGTCTGCATCCTATTCCAGCTGGGAGGCAATGGCTCAGCCTTCTTGCCAGGGTCAAGATCTCTTCTTTAAGAGAAAATTAGACAATTATATTTTGAGATAACATTGCATAAATTTACCTACATTCGTCTTACAGGTTGTTTTAAAAGTTTTGGATCCCCGCTTTGAAATAGAAAGCCCTTACAGCCCCTAAATCCAGGGTAAGAATTGTTTTTTATTTTTCAGATCCTTTTTTTTTTTTTTTTTGATTGCCTGGTGAGAGTATTCCCTGTGGTTTCATTTCTATAGAGGGCTAAGGGCACATCAGACAAGGTGAACCAAGGCCGCTGATATGCTCTTTCACTCACCGCTTCCTTTTCCTCTCTAGACCTCGTGACACTGACAAGCCTGAGGATAAACTTTACCAAACTCCACACCCTTGGGGATACTTTATTTGGAAGGGAGCAAAACGACTCCCTGGATAAATACTACTACGCGCTGTACAAGATGGTTGTTCGGGGGAGCTGTTTCTGCAATGGCCACGCCAGTGGATGTGGCCCACTGCAGAAGGCTCGGGGAGACCCTTCCAGCCCTGCGGGAATGGTGAGTTCCTCACCAAAGGACCAGTCGGTCCTCCTTCCGGCTCCACTGTCCCGGTGCTGAGCAGAGACAGAGATCAGCAAATCCCAGGGCCTGGCAGGTGTCATTCCACCTTTGCAAAAGGCCACCTGGGCCACTTAACTTCTCTAGCCAGAGATTCTTGTGCATTATGTCACCCAGGGGCATCACTGAAGTCATGAGCAGAATTTATAATTTATGACTTCAAGGTACCCTGAAGTACCCTTGTTCTGTTTTTGTTCATTCATTTCTTATGGAATGGAAATTTGATGGGAGAGAACTATAATCTCATGTTCATTCTCTCACTGAAAAAAAAAATTGATTGAATGGGTGTTGAGTGCAAAACTCCATACTCAATGCTAAAGCCCTTCAGTAATATCTGATATTGTAGAAATGGCCAATCCTAGTGACGTTCTTACACTCTGAAGGAGCATGTCTTAATTCTGCAGAGCTTTTTCACTCTGGGGACTGGTGTCAAAAGGCTGATATGATAGAAGAGTAGTTGGTGGTGGTGTAGTTTCTGGGCTGAGGATGGAGCTCAGGGTTTCAAGGGTGCCGGGCAAACACTGCAGCTGAGCTCCATACCCAGCCCAGCAACTGTACATTTTTATGCACGGCCGCAGGGGTGTCCACTAAATAATTGGAAATGGCTAGGCACAATCCCATCAGGGTTGCTGGGAGGCCACGGCACCTTCCACACAGCCCCCTCTCTACTCTTTGAATGTGGGCCGTTGACACCATTGTGTGAAAGCCCTAGAGGACCTCGTGTCTTCCTCTAGCTTCTCCCTAACTCCGTTTCCCCTGTGCTCCTAACCCCGCCCCCCAGACAACCTCTCCCCATCCTGGCACTCATTTTACTGAGGGCTACAAGGTGCCTCCCTGAAATTAGAATACGAAAAAGCCCCCAAAGTATTGTAAGTGTACTCTGAATCTGCAGACTTTAAAGGCTGGGTAAGCAAGTAACAGGAGAGTCGCCACGTGTGTTGTGACCAGCAGGGGGAGCTAAGGGAGGAGGGGACCTGCGGCCTGACGGGCCTGGGGGCCTGGCTCGCGAGAGTGACACTGTGTATCGCACAATGCAGGTCCGCGGCCGCTGTGTCCGTCAGCACAACACCGCCGGCCCCCACGGCGAGCGCTGCGAGGACTTCTTCCAGGACGCTCCTTGCAGGCCCGCCGTGGGCCCTGGGGACAGCGTCTGCCGACAAGGGTGAACACGCGTGCCCTGGGCTCCTCACTCTGCAAACGTGTAGCTCAAGTCTAGGGCTCTGACTGGGCCGCTGGAATGACCCGGGGGTCTGGGGACAGAGGGCTCTCCCGGGGCGCGATCCCCGTTCCTCGGGTTTTTGCCCTCACCCTGGCGGGGGAAGCCAGAGTGGGATGAGCCTGAGGCAAAGCCGAAGATCCCCCCAAAACGGAGAAGTCAGGTCTGCCAAGAACGAGATGTCAAAAACAAAAGTAGCGCGCAACAGAGGTTTATTCGGGAGAAGGCGAAGGCAGAGACAAATCGTCCCGAGACAAAGGACTGGGCAGGGAGAAGTTCAAGTGGTGCCCTTGCTCTACCAGACTTAAAGGGGTTCTTAGCCAATCAGGGTCTGAGCGTTTGTTTAGGGGTCCTGGGGTCTTCACTGATTGGCACATTCTAGGCCAGTCAGGGTCTTAGCTTTTGTTGCTGGCTTGAGCTGTTGCTGGGGTGAGCATGGGCTTTGGGGAACTTTCCAGTGAATGCAAGCAGGTCCCTCCCTAAAGACAACGGTTCTACACCTGCAAAGGTTTCCCAAGGGGCAATTTCCAGTAAGCAGGTGGTCACTTCTATAGCCGCCTGCCTCGTGGGCCATGCGGTCAGCCACTTCATGTCCCTAGTCCCCTCTCACTGTCCCTACCCAACTGCTGACGCCGCGGTCTCTCCGGTGCGCTCATGGAGCAGAATCACCAGCTTCTCAGAGCGCACCACGGTGTCACTGGGCACACTGAGGAAAGGCAGAGCTTTGTGATGGCAAAATAACCGGGGGCAGTGTGACCCCGGGATCTGATGAACACTGGATTGGGGCCCAAGATCGCAGCGGTCTTGCTGAATGCGGCTTTCAAGCGCAGGTACACAGGAGAAGAGGAGGGCAGGATTGAGTTTAGCAGGCCACTGTAATTTTTTACAAATTATTTAAGTCAATAAGGCGTCATTTTCATTTTTGTTAACATTTTTGCTGCCTCTGAATTTTGATGAACTTCCAAACAATCTCGTTATTTAGTCTCTTTTCCCGGATTTAAGAAAAACAGGACTTGAAGGAATGAAAGGTCCCTAGAAGAGGCCTCATGAAGAAACCCCATGTGTGACAGTCGTAGTCCACAAGACCCAACAACATGAATGGGAGCTGAGGCTGTCTGGGGGAAGGGGACCCAGGACAGAGCACAGACGGCCCCAGCTGAGATCAAACACCCTGCAGCCGCCCTGCCAGCGCTCTGTCCCCCAGAAGGGCAGGACAGGCTCAGCTCCAGCCACCACCACCCCCTGCATGCACAACATTCCAGGTTAAAATATTTCAACGTACAAAGCTTAAGTCGGTGGAGGTATTCTTTACAGTTCCCCACTATCCATACTGTGCTCTGGCTTCTAAATCATCTAAGTGGTTTGCTTTAGTTTGCAATTTTTTTTTCTTTTTTTTCCTTTTTTTTTTGGTACCAGAGATGGGACTAAGGACCTTGCGCTTGTGAGACAGGCGGCGGAACCACTGAGCTAAATCCCCGGGCCCTGTTGGTTTGTTTTTGAGGCAGGGTCTCACTAGCTGGCTCAGGCTGGTCTTGAACTCAATGTTCAATGCTCCTGCCTCACCCTCCAGAATCCGGGAATTGCTTGCATATGCCACCAGGCCCAGCTCTGTTTGCACGTTTTAAAAAACCTGCACATTAACATTTAGAGGACGCATTTTATAGCAAACGTAGGAGCCCAAGTGCTGCGGGCCCCTGCGCAGGCGGCATCTCTGCGGAGGGCGAGTGGGCGCATCCTCCTCCCAGGCCTTGGCGCGTCTCGCACTCAGAGCTCTCCTCTCCTTCGCAGCCTGTCACTGCAACGGCCACTCGGACCGCTGTCACTTCGACCCGGCCGCGTACCTGGCCAGCAGCGGCGTGAGCAGCGGCGTGTGTGAGAGCTGCGCACACCACACCGAGAGCGCACACTGCGAGCGCCGCGGGAGCGCTGCCGGCCGCGCTTCTACCGGGACCTTGCAGGGCCGCCTCCCACCCGCGCGCCTGCCTGCGTGAGTCCGCGGCTGGGGGCGGGGGCAGGGGGTGGTAAATGAAATAGTCCAAGCGCATGCAAAGCAATAGAGAATAATATAATAAGCCCCCCCATCCCACCGCGACTTCTATCAAAATCTGATAACTACGGGCCGGGGATTTAGCTCAGTGGTTCTGGCGCCTGCCTCGCAAGCTGAGGACACGAGTTCGATCCCTGGTACCAAAAAAAAAAAAAAAAATTGAATCTGGTAATTTACCCTGTTGCCTTTGGCCCCTTCTTTAAAAAACAACAGACGTTGGCCGGGGATTTAGCTCAGTGGTTCCGCCGCCTGCCTTGCAAGCGTAAGGACCTGAGTTTAATCCCCGGTACAAAAAAAAAAAATAAAAAATAAAAAACAACAGACACAATTCACACCCCATGTACACTTCCATCCTATTTATTTACCCTCCTTCCTGGGGGGTAAATACTAATATATTTGGTGTTTGTTATTTATCATTGCCACGCTTGCTTTTTAGACTTTTTTTGGTACTGAATATTGAACCCAGAACCTTCACACTAAGCTACATCCCTAGCCCTTTTTTTATTTTATATTTTGATACAGGGTCTCCCTAAGTCCCTAAATTACCCAGGCTGGGCTGGAACGTGCAGTCTTCCTGCCTCAGCCTGTGTATTACAGGTATGGGCTTAGTTTACACTTTCATCTGTGTCTTTATCCATAAACAATATATGTTGGCGTGTTTTCGAATAATGACGATGTTGGGTAAAGGATACCTTGCCATTTGAGTTCTTCAGGAACTTGAGTATTTCATTCAACATTTTTTAATGTGTCCATATCCGGTAGTTCATCCATATTAATTCCTGCATAAAATCCCTTCCTTCAAGTATGATGAAATGCATTTGTCCCCTTTCCTTCTGATGCAGCACAATCCAGTCATATCTGCCGTGTGCGCATAGGCAGGCTGTCCCTCATAAACATAAGTAGGAGTGGAATTTCTGGCCCGTGGGGTTTGCGTTTTTTCAAATTGATTAGACAATGCAGAATCGCCCCAGAGTGGCGTCAGCTCACCAAGGCAAGAGCTCCTGTGCTCTGTGTCCTTGCCAGCACTTGGTTTTCTCAAGCTATAGTTTTTGCTAATCTAGGTTTGGTCACACTTTTGCTTTGCTAATGAAGTGATATCACTGTGTGAATTTGCATTTCTCTACAGAACTGAGGCTAAAATGAGGCAAGCAAAGCACTGAGTCCCCAAATTTAAGGCAGCACTCACTGTCAGGGTCATGTAAGTGCAGGACTGACAGTTACCACTTGCAAGAACCTAAACGAAAACCTCCTTACAGTTTGTACCCTTGGCATCTCACTCAACTCGCGTTAGTCCCATCATTGCCGTATGATGCTGTCTAGATAAAACCCCAAGCTGACTTTACACACCAGTGTCAACGATTGGCCCTAAGGTCTCACTCTCCTTCCTTATAAACACACAGGTTAGCCTGTTACTGTTCCATGGATACTGCACACCTAGGGAGTGTATGCCACAGGCAAGGAGCACTGAGTTTGGAGGATCCCTTGCTTTTATAGCAAGTGGAGAAAGCCAACTCTTGACCAGGGAAGATGTTACCATATGCCCCAAGTTGCTTGCTGCAAATGCAGCTCTGAGACAGGCCCGGTAAAGAGCAAGCAGGACCTCGCATCATTGGCACACTCCGTAGAGACGTTCAGGATGCCCAGGACCCACGGAGAGTTGCCTCCCCCGGTACCCAGAAATCCAGCTTCTCAGGCTCTCTCATTAAAGCAAGGGAGGGAGGAGCTGCTATGAAATCATAACTTCAGACTTTCTGTAATCCTAATAAAACAAAAAGTCTACACAAGTCATTCAGGGGCACCTGGATACCATGTCATAGGTTTCAAGCTTTAAGTGAACATAGTATAGAAAAAGCATCAATAAAGGGTTTTGCTCAGTGGGCACCAGCATAAAATTTGACATTACAAGACCTGTTCAAAATTGATAGGAAAGCCAGGTATGGTGGTACAGGCCTGCAATGCCAGCACTCAAGAGGCAGTGGCAAGAGGATTGCCATGAGTTCGAGGCCAGCCTGAACAATATCAAAAGACCCTGTCTCAAAAATGATATGAAAAACTGGACTCTCATAAAACACTTATGAGAGCAAAATCCTATCGGTTTTTATCACAATCTGTAGTCATACACATACACCCCCACTTGTTTTTATTAATGTTTTTTTCTTTTGGGGGCGTACCAGGGATCAAACTCAGGACCTTGCACCTTCAAGGCAGACTCGGGGCTGCTGAGCTAAATCCCTGGCCCTTTTGTTGATTTTTTTTATATCTATGTATTTATAGAAGATTCAGTTGCTGTCTGGGCAGAATCAGGGAAATACAATGTTTTTAAACAGATCATCTAGGAAAATAGAGATTTGGAAATAATAAACTAAATGTTTCAAACTTACCAACCAAGGTCTTGTTCCTTCAGAACAACTTAGTATTATCTTAGTGGTACTTTTGAAAGAAAAAAACAAACAAACAGGGAAAGAACATTGGTAACCCTGATCGGAAATTAAGAAGTCATTCATTATAAACATGGAGGGCCGGGGATTTAGCTCAGTGGTTCCACCACCTGCCTTGCAAGCGCAAGGACCCAAGTTGGATCCCTGGTACCAAAAACAAAACAAAAAAATAAACATGGAATTGTTTTTCCGTGAGAGGCAGATGAAGAGCTTGTAACAGATATCCATCATGAGACTCCCCAGCCTCTTCCAGGTGACCGAAACGCACATTTATTGTGTAGAGCTCTCAGATAAATTCTAAGTTGTTCTTGTTTGAACCCAAATATTTATGTAAATAGACTCCAGGCATAAACATTTGCGAATTTTAAAGTCTACATAAGATACTCTTAAATGCGATACAGAAAGAAAATATTTAGTAAACAACCACTACAAATAAAAGTTTGTTAGAATCAAATTGTGTGGCAGCAGGAAGTTTTATTGGAGTTGCAGAGGCTGTGACATAGTTATTTCAGAGTAAAGTCACTGTCCACTCACTTGGTCCCAAAGGCTGCTTCTGTGCATAATTAAATTATTCTCTGGAACTCAGTGCTCACCCTGTGGAGTGTCTCCTAAATAAAGCTGAGGTTTGTTTATTGTTTTTTTTTCTTTTAGCCATTTCTGAAATGAATTTGGATTTGTCCTTCCTTTCTGGAAGTAACTGAATTTAATTAGAAGAAAATAATGGGTTTTTTCCCCTCCAAACTAAACAGAACCCAATGCTGTTTTTCCATAGCAAGATTTTATCACCAGTCAAAATCCAGTAGCAAACAATGAGAACTTGGAAGATTCTGCCAGACAACGAGGCCTTTGCTTCAGTGACACCAAGCAACTGGTTTGACTGGATTTTTTCCACTGAACTCAGGAGCCTAAATGGTTTCTACATAGACAGAGCTTTACCCTGGAGGGTTTTGTTTTTGTTAATGCTAAGCAAACATGTACAAATGTGAACAAGGTTATTCTTTAAAGTGAAGATGTTCACTTTTTATGTTTATTGCATTCTTTAAAAGAGGAACCTCTTGGAAACCCAACAGCACAAAGGTACAAGAGACTTTGGTGGTCGCCAGTGCCTACCATCACGCTTGTCCTCTGTCCCAGAGCCATGAGTGCAAGTTCAGCATCTACCTGGACACCTTCAATAAGAAAGGAACCCCACTCTATCGGGCAGCCCTGTCTGTTAGTGAGCGCCTTCTTATATCCAGTCAAAGTCCACCTTCTGTAACTTCTCCCCTCCTGCCCTTGACCTACCCGCTGGAGTTATTCACACTGTCAGCATCCCTTTTCATACACACTCCTTTCTTGCATTGTTCAAATTTCCACTAAAAAAGAAAAAAATCACTACTTTTGTTTCTCCTTTGCTACAGATGTCTGCTTATTCTATTGTCCAAATCTCTTCATTCAAGCTTTGCCTCCCCAGCAGATTTCTAAAAAGGACACACAAGGGTATGAGTCCTTCCCAGTGGTCCCTTGCTTTCTTTTTTGGAGGTGTTCCAGAAAAAAAAAATCCAAAAGAATGATATGCTTTCATTGCGGTATATTTTGTCCATGATGAAGAAGAGCAGACTTAGCTTTTAACCCTGTTTCAGAGATTTGGTGGACCTCCTACGTGACTGCTTTCGTATGGCTCTTGCGATAAGACAAATCCGTCATCGCAACATTCCACTCTTACTTGTCTCTTGACCTTTTCTTAACCTTTAGTCTTTTTCTTCTTTAATCCATTTTTCACTGAGTTGAAATTTACACAACATAAAAGTTACCATTTGATCGTTAGGCACAATGTTGTGGGACGACTACATCTATGAAAATTAGTTCCAAAGCGAAAATTAATTTTCATTCACCCCCAAAAGAATGAATCCATTCTTAACATTCAGTTTTCAAAATAACAGGCTTTCTGTGATCCTCTGACTTTATAATCATTTAAGTCTTTTCAAGATAAATGTATGGAATTATCTGACATTTTCCAATACCAGAAATCTGGGAGACATTCTAAACAGCTTTGTCTGTTAATCTAATGATGTAAACATATTTAATTATTTAACTGAAGTGAAATAGTTCTAGCATGGGTAAAATGCTGTGCTTATATTTCAGTTTTTACAGTTTGCAGTTAACTAAGAATCTGCATCTCTCTGACCCCAGCCTGTGAGTGCGACGCTGATGGGAACGTGTCTGGCGGCATTTGTGTGAGCCACTCTGAGCCTGTCTCGAGCGCTGTGGCCAGCCAGTGCTTGTGTAAGGAGAACGTGCAAGGAGCCAAGTGTGACCAGTGCAAAGGCAACCACTACGGACTGAGCGCCTCAGGCCCCCGGGGCTGCCAGCGTGAGTCCTCAGGGCTGGCCCACCAACTGGGGTGAGCTTTAGAGCTGATGTTGTCACCCTCAGCCCTTAAAGTCTTTAATTGCAGACACCTAAAGAGTCCTACCAGCCCCCGAGTCTTCTAAGTGGTACAATACCTACCACAAATTCTAGCAAGTTAGGAGATAGCTTTTGTCCGTGGTTTACTAAATTTAGCAGAAGTGACCAGCAGGGGCGAGTTCCTCCTCCTGGACCAAGGCGGGGCGGGGGGTGGCAAAGAAATTTAATGCCGGGGCCGGGGATTTAGCTCTGTGGTTTCGCCGCCTGTTA